CAGTGTCATCCAAGTGCTCCGATTTAACTAGAAGAAAAAAGACGCCTACAGCCCGATTCATGGGGGATCGGCCAACTAGTTCGTTGGATAACTCCTCAACCGACAGCCCACATCAAGTCAACCACCCCCCAATACGGGGACGTGGTGAGACTGACTACCAGTTGCCTGTACTGTGATGTGAGAGGGCTAAGAGGCAAAATAACTGAACTTAGACACCTACAATCTGAGCTGAATTCCAAAATCATAATACTGGCGGAAGCCTGGCTAACCCCCACGGTGGCAGACAGCGAAGTCAGTATAAATGATATGGTCCTAGTCAGGCGAGATGTGAACCTAAAAGAAGGGGGTGGAATCGCCATATACGTCGAAAAACAGCTCAGATGTGTTCACGCAATGGACACCCCTCATTGAGCCCCCTGACTTCATATGGTGCCATTTCACCGTTGGGTACTGCAAATATCTAGGGGGCATCATTTATTGATCACCTTCATGTGGAGGGAAAGGTGCCTACTGACTGGAGGAAAGGTTACCTAGTGAAACTACCAAAGAAGGGCGACCTAGGACTCTGCAAGAACTGGCAAGGAATCATGCTCCTGTCAATGCCAAGTAAAATTCTGAGTCGCATCATCTTGGAGAGAATCAAGGACGCACTGGATACAGAACTCCGACCAGAACAAGCTGGATTCAGGAAAGGCGAATCATGTTCTGACCAAATTGCAACTCTACGCATTATCATCGAACAAAGCATGGAATGCCAATCAAATCTCTACCTCAACTTTATAGACTTTGAGAAGGCCTTCGACAGCGTTGACCGCGAAGTAATTTGGAAACTACTCGAGTACAATGGCGTACCCCAAATATTCATTAACCTCATTCAACAGCCGTACGACAACGGCACACGCCAAGCGATCCATAACGGAAAACTCAGCAAGGCGTTTCGAGTAAACAGAGGAGTCAGACAAGGGTGCTTATTATCACCAATGATATTCCTAATTGTGGTGGACTGGATTTTGCGTCAGACAGTGGGAAACGAGAAGACAGGGATATCCTGGACCGACGTGAAGAACCTAGAAGACCTGGATTTCGCGCATGGATGGTTGATGTTTGATATCAAAGAAAATATCGAAAACTAAGAAGTGAAAACCGACAAACTGGTCGAAGAAGCAGCAAAGGCGGGACTCCAGGTGAACATAGACAAGACAGAGATTACGAAAATAACCAACCAGCAACAGCAACATCAACATCCAGCACCAATCACTGTCAACGGGAGGGATTTGAAAGAGGTTACTTCATTCACTTATCTAGGTAGGGAGCATTGTCTCGACTACAGGAGGAACGGACGAGGATGTCAAATCGAGAATCGGGAAAGCAAAAAACACATTTATCAACCTGAAACCAATCTGGAAATCTTCGTCACTCCTCAGCATCAACAACAAAATGATTCGGATTTTCAATACAAACGTCAAGTCAGTCAGTTCTTCTATACGGATCAGAAACTTGGCGGGTCACAAAGAATATTTCCAACAGCCTGTTGCAGACCTTTATCAACAACTGTCTTCGCTACAAACTGAAGATCAGATGGCCGGGAGGAACAAGAACCAGCAAGAAACTATGGGAACAAACAAAACAAGAACCAATCGCTCAACAAATATGCAGGAGAAAGTGGAGATGGATTGGGCACTCACTCAATGAGGAGGCCGCTGGGTGACATCGCGCGTCAGGCCAACGGTCGAGTGGAACCCGAAAGGGAAGCGGCGAGTGGGACGTCCAAGGGTGACATGGAGGAGGTCGTGTGATGAGGAACTGAAACAGTATGGATTAACATGGATGCAAGTGAAAAGTACAGCACAAGACAGAAGCAAGTGGAGGCGTGCAGTTGAAGACCTATGTTCCACTAGGAACCCAAGGGAACAATAATAATAAATCATGTGGAGGAGACCGCAACCAGGTACTGCTGAACACAATTTCAGCGACATAAGACATGGGTTATGATCAAATTGTCATAGCTGGGACTTCAATGCCCCATCACTTAACTTGATGCCGGAATACGCCCATGATAGATTTGATCGAAATCTGCTGCATACCATCAGGAAGGCTGGATTCACTGAAAATGTCAGGATGGATGCTAGATGGGGCCCGGATGGGAAGTCTTCTAGACCGGATTATGTGCTCACTAGTGACCAGCTACTAGTGAAAAACGTTCAGATCATGACCCCCATAGGTAGTATTGACCACGCGGTCATAGTATTCGACAAAGTCCTCCGCGAGCGCTTACAGTGGCACAGTGGTTAGGACTCTCGCCGACCACGCACATGGCACGGGGCTCGATCCCCGGCCGACGCACACCTGATATCTATGGTCGGCCTGCAAAATTTGGGCTACCGATATCACATGCTGAAAATTCCATACCTGTACCAAACACTACGGTGTGGAATCAAGCTATAAGAAAAAAAATAAAAAATACACAGCCTTATCTGTGTTATAACAAAGCCAATTACACCGAAATGCGAAGACTTTTGTCTGAAGCAAATCGGCCTAAAAATGGACAGAGCTAACAGCAGAAGAACACTGGGGAGTGGTAAAGGAGATCATTCACCAGGCGGTCTCAGACCCTGTTCCTTTAGTCACACCGAAAGCTAGGAAGCAACGTTCATGGCTAAAAAGGGGGACACAACGCTTTCTGCAGGCGAAGCGAAAAGCCTGGTTTGCGTGGCGAGTATCGCAGAGTCAACCCGAACATGAAGTGTACCTTGAACTCAGGAGTCGATGTAACATACGAGTCCGAAGTGATAGAAGGACAACAAGCTTCTCGTGAACCCCAAAAGCCTATACAGGTTTATGTCTGAAAGAAAACCAACCAACCAGGGAGCATGCAATCTAATGGGTTCTGATGGGAAATCACTCACTAGTCTTGAAATGGCAGAGACATTCAGTCTAGCCTGTCACAGGCAACTGAACAGTAATGAGGATTTTACCCCCACAAAACATCAAGAATACAATACAAAACCAACGCGCGAAAACCCGCTGGGTACATTTCAAATTACCCCGGCTATGGTACTCGTAAAATTGGGAAAGCTGACTTCGGGAAAGTCTTCAGGGTGTGATGACATCAGACCATCCGTCCTTATGCAGTGTTCAGAAAGTCTCTGCCAAACACTAAGTGATCTGTTTCAACACTCCTTTGATGGAGGGAAACTTCCATGTGAATGGAAACGAGCCATCCTATCCCCTATCTTCAAGGGTGGTGACCGGCGGAATGCAACCAGTTACAGACCGGTTGCACTACTTCCAGTGATATCGAAGATATTGGAAAGTCTCATTGACGAACACATGAGAAAATACTTTTACGGGGCTAACCTACTCCATGAAGCACAGCACGGTTTCCGGAGGGGAAGATCCTGTGTGACGAATCTTCTACTAGCTTGGAACGATTGGACACTATCCTGGGACGTAAAGGTACCAGTCCATGTGATCTTTCTCGACCTTGCGAAAGCATTCGACACAGTTCACCATGGTCTGCTCCTTCACAAAATAAGCAAGGCGGGTGTTTCTGGAGCACTTCTCGCATGACTGGAAGCTTACTTAGGCGAGAGAGAATTCTGCACCAAAGTCAACCGCATCCGATCCTCCTGGCACACCTCGGCATCAGGGATTCCTCAGGGTTCTATCTTAGGGCCGTTGATGTTTTTGATTTTTATCAACGACCTGCCCTTTCAACTGAACTGCTCTGTGTTTCTTTACGCTGACGACGTAAATAAATAAATAAATATATTCTCATAGTACAGTACATGAGGGACGCCAGTTTACAGGCATCATCAAACTGTTATAGAAATAGAACCATATGTAAAGATTTGAAGAGCAATAAACTCATTGAAAGACTCAGACAGATTGCAGGCTAACCTGCAAACTCTGGAAGTCTGGGCTCTGGCTAACGGAATGCCTTTCAACCTAAAGAAATGCAAAGAAGTGCAACTTCATTCCGGCGGGTCACAGAGTGTAAAGTACACCGTTGGTGGCCAGAATTTGAGTTATGTGCCATCAGAGCGCGATCTAGGTCATATCCTAACAGAAAAGCTAGACATTAGTGGAAATTACACGAGGGACGTCGCCAGAGTCTCCGCAACTTTACATTTTATGCATAGGCAGCTGGGAGCTCTTACTCCCGAACTATCCCTACGGTTGTATAAGATATACGTGAGGCCACACCTTGAGGTGCATAATATCATTGCTCCTCCGCTACTCAAAAAGGATGCTAACATTCTAGAAAGTGTCCAGAGACGAGCGGCAAAATGGGTGATCGGCCTCCGCAACAAATCATACGAGGAAAGACTGAAGAAATTAGGTCTTTTCACACTTAGTTACCGTAGTCACAGGGGAGACCTCATCATGGTCTACAAGATCTTAAATGACCAGGCCCACCCAAATGAAAGCATCCTGCTATTAAGTGATTATAGGCTTCCACGAGGTAACCCGCTAAGGATAGCACAACAGAGACCAAAGACTCGAGTGCGTTCACATTTATTATTTCACTTATATCAACCTATATTATCTACACTACAACCTATTATTATTATTACTATTCTGCTTTTATGACTATACCGAATGACCAATGGGAGTCAGGTCAAACTCCATTCACGGCAGCAACTCAATCCTAACATACTGCACACTACAAACCACATTTTGACCAATCACCGCACCACTCCTCTTGGAGTCTACTAGAGCTAAAGCAGTCGAGTGGCCGGACTTACTACGCATAAGTTCACCGAAGATCTGGAACCTCTACCTTAAAATCAAGAAGCGAGCTCAAAGAAATCACTTGTTTATACTAGCTTGTAATCAGGATATTGGAACGACTGGAACTCCTTACCTGACTCAGTAGTAACAGTTCCATCGGTGAACGTTTCAGAGAGAAATTAGATCTCTGCATAGATATATTGCAAGGATTAACACAGGTAACAAGTGCTTAATATCCTTATTTTTTGAAACTGAATATTGCGTGATTTTCGGAGGCGTCTTTAATTTTCAAGGCCGTGACCATGAACAGGCTGTTGATTTTGTTCAGTGTAGTTGTTGCCGCGTTGGTGTTTATTTGTCCTTTTACAAAAGTAGAAGAAAGCTTCAACATACAGGCACTGCATGATTTGCTCTATTTTGGACCAAATCTGACTTCGGTATGCTTTGTGTATATGATAGTTACCTTCGCAGTATGACCATAAAGAGTTCCCTGGTGTTGTCCCGAGATCATTCCTAGGTTCTTTGTTAATTTCCTGGGTATGCGCACCGGTAGTTTACCTGTGTTCATTGCTGAAACTAAATAAGTTTGTCTCCCAGTATATCGGTAAATTATTGTACACTTTAATTACTGTCCAGTTAGGATTTCTTTGGGAGTACTAACAATCCTCAGTTTGAAAACGTTCGCAAATTCAGTGAAAAAAGTTTTTGGGAAACATGTGTGTGCACGTTTTCTTTTAATATGTTGCAGTCAATTCCACTTTTCATTTTATGCTTCGAGGACGCTTCCCAATAGCTTTGCTAATGTACTCGGTAGGTTCTTATTCCTGAAATCTTTAGACGTGTTGTGTAATTTTTTTGGATTAAGTAAATGTTTGTCGTAAAACGTAATTAGAGTATTTCCTAAAAGCCAAGATAACTATGAGATACTGTAGTTACAATCAGTTCAATTGTGTTGCTCATATACGGACACTCATGATGTTTTTATCAAATGAATGTAGAGTCGGTGGATATACCTGTATTCCAGATTTTAATAAGGAATTTTTGTGTGTTTGGAACCTTAAATCTATTCAGTATTCATAAGTTTGATACTTAGTATCATCTAGGTGTCTTGTGATTATGCTTCGTAGGATTTCAGAAAATATACTGATAAAGCTAGCCCCTTGTGATACTGACTTATCAGCATAAATCTTTGCACAAAAGTGTGTCAATCCAACTTTTCACTTAAGTTGGATTGAACTGTGAAATCCAAATATTTAAATGCAGCTACCTTGATCCTACCAGTTACTTTTAAGATATGCATTACTTGTATCTGTAAAAATAGTGAAGAGATTCAAGTAGTAATACATTTAAAATTTGTTGATTGAGGATAGAAGGCAAATTTCTGTGCTGGTCTAAATCCTTCTTGAATGAGTCAATTGAGGGCGCTGACACCACTTCTTCTGGGAGTCGGTTCCTGGAGTTCATGACTCAGTGTGAGAACCAGTAGTCTACCGCAGTGTAGTCCCTCCTTGGCTTTTAAACTTTCCAGCTATGTCTTTTGAGGTATTCCAACCTACTGGGAAGGAAAATTGCAAATAGATCAAATCAGTGGTCATTACTTAAAATTCTAGACATTGTAATGAGACATTCTCTCTGCTTACGTTATGACAGTGAGAAGGAATTTAAGCTCTGTAGTCTTTCGCCGTATGATAAATTGGTTATGTTGCTTTCCTTTGAACCCTTTCCAGAATCCATGAGTCCCCCTTAAGACAAGGACTGGCTGCCTGGATACAATCTTACAGAATTGACCTCACCAGAGATGTATATAAAGAGGTGAACATATCTCTGGTGATTCTAGTAAACGCTCTGTGTATTGTCCATAAAGATTTAAAACTCCAAACTGCCACCGCTCGACAGTGTGCTGTAGTTTTCAAGTCGTGACTTACTATGACACCTGAATCCAAATGAGTCTGAACTGTTGGAAGTGTTATTCCCTCTCGTTCGTAGGAGCTGATGCTCGCTTGCCCTGTGCGCATGGTTGCACATTTAGCTACTTTGATCGAGAGCATCCATTCTCTGGACCACTCTGAAAATATGTTGAGGTCCTCTTGCAACGTGAGTGTATCACTGTCACCTTTCAGCTATCTCCAAATTTTTAAGTTATCTGCGTATAAGACCATAGGGGAATCGGTGTGTAGAGGTAACAAAATAGGAGAGGTCCGAGTATCGTGCCTTGTGGCACTCCGCTACGCACTGCTGTCCAGGAGGAAAGTTTACAATTGATCCTGACTCTGTCTCGTATCTGTGAGTAACTGCCTAACCCAGTTTAGTAGCCAGTCAGTCAGATACCATATTGGTCAATCTGATCCACCTGTGATTATCACAGGAAGACTTGTCTCTCTTCATGTATACTGGGATAATCAATGACTTGCACCAGACCAACGCGACTGTTTCTGATTTCCAGACACTGTCTAATACTTTAGTTAGTCCATACAGCAATGTGTCAACACTATCACCTTAAACACCTCTGAAGTCATTCTGCCAGGTCCTGCTGTTTAGCCTTGTTTCAATTTAGAGACAGCCTTTACAATGTCAGTTACAGGTGGTGGACTGATGTCTTCATCTCATTTATGTAGGTGTCAGTTGATGGGCTACCTTCACACATAACCATTTATTATTGTTATTTATGCCTTAATTATTCTCACAGATGTAATAATTTTGTCATATATTTTCTATATGTTTTTTTGTTCCTAGTCTTATATTCTTTGGGTCAATTAATCAACGGCAATCAGGCTGCATTTCTTGTATCCGCTGGCATATCAATCTTAGTATTTCGTAGTGAATTAGTCCTACTGTTTGGACCATGTCTACTGTATGCTTTATTCACTGGACGTGTAAAAATTCAATGGAATTTCTTCAAGATAATTATTACAACAACAATCATCAGTATCGGTATGTGCTGAAACTTCCTACTTTATTTTTGATTGCACACTAGTCAGTAACTAGTGTGATGTGTCTAGTCCTATCTTCGCTGACTGACTGAATTCTATCAGTCATGTTTGCAATGTGGCCACCATGCTAGGTGGCTCGCCATCACGGTGCACTGTGAATTGTTGGTATTAGATGGTTGGAGGCAATCGGCAGGAAGCCTTGGACCTAGGTTTCGTGCTAGTTGGCACTCATCAGCAAGGCGTATCTGCGACTTTGAAGGAACTGACGTCCCTTCTGAGATTTGAACCCGCGTCACCCAGTGCTACTTTCTTACCTTTTCTTTTCTTTATTGTCTATAGGCTGCAGTGTCCTTGTCGATTCCTACTTTTGGGGTAGATTAATTTGGCCAGAATTGGAAGTATTTTATTTCAATACAATTTTAAACAAAAGTGGACAATGGGGAGTATCCTTTTGAAATAATAATAATAATTTAGATGACTCTGTTATCGTGACTTTGAGTTCCTAGTGGAACATTTTAGTTGCTGAATTCCCAGTGTAATGACAGAAGAAAAGGGCCAGGCAACAGATCGTTTATTGAGAAAATCAACAGATATTTACAGATTTTTGTGTACATTATTTTTCAGTAGAGAAGCAACATTTTCTGATTGGTTGTCTTCTTGCTCAGGGTTATTCTGTACTGCTTGTGACCGTATTTTAGAAAGTTAGGCCATATATCTGTGAATCGTATTTGCACACGTTAAGTCTCCTCAAGGTTAAGCTTTGTTATTGTTGCTTTTTCTCATGACTCCGATTCGGGGCGTAAACATTGACGTAAATTGTTTGGTGGATGGAATCCAGGATGCGCATTTCGTCCCGTTTGGGACTCGTCACTGGTTGTACCTGCATTTCCCAGTGAGCGATGATTTTCCCACCGAGGTATGATTTTTGTTAACACAAACACTTAAGTGAATAAACAGTGTTCAGAAGTTCCACCTTATTTGACTTATTAAGGACGTTAAAATACAAACATGCAAAATTTAATGGTAATGAGTAGTAGTGTGATAAGTTTGACTCAAGTCGTAGAAATAAAAGAAATTTGGAACCGAATTACATTAAACCAAACAAATATGAGGGTGGGGTGGGTAAAAGCAAAAGATTATGTAATCAATTAAGATTAAACTTTGGGGGTCACCAAGGTAAGGAAAGATTAATAAATGAATAAGTGGCATGCGATTTGCTCCCACCAAATGTAAGATGATGTTACAGGACTGGACTACACTGACTAACTCCTAGTTTAGAAATAGGGGAGTGAAGTGGTTGGTGGAGCGTGTTGACCGCTTCACTTATTTGAGAAGTTGCATCAGCCAACGCCATAGGGTTGATCTCTGGTGAAATCTCAGCACAGATGCAGAGGGCTAGTTTCGCATATGCCAGTTTACGCCGTCTCTGGCCTAGTAGACGTGATATCCGACTAACTGTCGACCAAGGCGTGTGTATTGCTCAGCAGTCCGCTCCGTCTTCTTTTATGGCTGTAAGACCTGGCCACTGAAAGTGGAAGACATGGAAAGGTTGGCTAGCTGTCTTTGATCATAGGTGCCTGCGTTCTATCTCCCGTGTGAAGTGGTATAGTGGGGTAAGCAATACCGAGGTTAAGCTTCGGTCGAGTGCTAGGTAAGGAGGGGAAATCACGCGACGAGGTTGTGAAACTACATCGGCTGAGCTGGTTAGCACATGTGTTACGCATGCTGTATGCTCAGCCATCGCCTTCCTCGACAGATGGGCAATGTTAGCTGACATAGGGTCAAGTTGGCGGTCAAGCCAAAACATGGCACCGGTTGGTTTAAGCCACGTAGGAAGGTGTAGACTTCCTGACTGGTTGGGATCCTTAGGACGGTAAACACCAATGGTTGGAGACAATTGGTGATTTGGGTGGCTCAAAATCCTCGTTCTCAATGACAGCGCAGATGCATCCAATCCTTGGGACTTCTAATACCCAATGAAACTATATTGTTCTTCGATATTACTATTCTTTCTGTCTCACACCTCTGTCTACTGTCTCTATTATGCATTTCTTTTTACTTTCTGCTCTTGCTTTGTGTGCTACATGGAGGGAGTGTGGCAACTTGAACTGCTGAACATCGGTGCAAAGTTCTATGTCGAAAACAGACAGACAGAATATTTTGGAATCTTTCTGAAAACGCATAAGTCAGGTTTTAAACGTTTGATAGTGATCACTTTGGCAAATTTGAGAAGAGTTGAGTTGAGTTATATTGTCTATTAATAATCTTGAAGGATTTCAGGGTGTCCTCCATCTCATGACTCGTATCAACAAGATGTGTCTGACAATAGCACTGTTCCAAGCAGTTGTTCCCTTGAGACGTAAGCTCTTTTGGTACATATTCGGAGAATCTGAGATATACTCTTCTTCCTGTTCTTCCAATGTCACTGCTCCTGCAGATACATGTGAATTTGCCTGCACAGAGTTAACATGAGAAGGGTGTCTGTCGACTTTTGATTGCATCAAAGAGTTTGTTATTCGATAGGCGGGAACCAATTTGGCTACAGGGATAGGTTCCGGCTAGAGAAGTTTTCAATCTTCTTTTACTTATTCCTAATGAATATTATCGCCTTTAAAATCCAGTTGGGTGAAGACAGGCTTCTTATTTTTTTTTACTGTGGTTTGTTGTCTCACCTTTAGATTTTCAGATCTTGTAAACTTTCCGATGAATTTTGGAGGGTAATCATTATTGTCAGAAAACTTTCTCAATGTTTGGGAGTTCTTCTTCTTCTTCTAGTATTTCTGTGGAGCATATTCTTCTGGCTGTGTAAAACAAAGTTTTGACCAGCGCTCGTTTGACAGACTGGTTTCAACATAGAATTTTGCACCGATGTGCATCAGTTCAAGTCGTATGTTTGGCATGCGATTCGCCCCTGTAAAATGTAAGATGCTGCTGCAGGACTGGACTACGTCAACTCCTAGCTAAGTGATAGGGGGTGAAGTGATAGAACATGTTGACCACTTCACCTGTTTGGGAAGTTAAATCAGCACCAACGGATTGATTGATGACGAAATCACAGCACGGATCCAGAAAGCTCGGGCTGCTTTCGCTAACTTACGCCATCTCTGGCGTAGGCGTGACATCCGACTATCAAACAAGGGACGTGTGTATTGCTCAACAGTTCGCTCCGTCCTTCTCTATGGCTCTGAAACATGGCCAATACGAGTTGAAGACATGAAAAGGTTGACTGTTTTTGATCATAGATGTCTACGATCTCTTTCTCACGTTAGGTGGTATAATAAGGTAAGTAATGTTGACGTTAGGCGTAGAGTGTTGGGCAAAGAGGGAAAATCACTCGAAGAGGCTATGAAGTTACATAGATTGAGATGGCTAGGTCACGTGATGAGCATGCCTAACCATCGCCTCCCCCGATGGGCATTACTAGCTGATATAGGTAGGTGCAGGTTGGAAAAGAGTAAGTGGTGGCCAAACAAAAACATGGCGTCAATCCATGAAATCCCTGACAGTTAAACTGAGTCAGGTAGGGAGATGCAGACTTCCGGGTTAGGGCCCGCCCTCGGGACTCTAAGAATCAATGGCTGGAGACAATAGGTGACATGGCTCAAAATCGTTGTCAATGGCTTACGCAGACGTATTCAGTCTCTGTAATCTTTCATATTCCTTTCTACCATTACTCATTCTGTTTCACTCTTATACTTGTCAAAACTCTATTGATTCTCTTCACTCATTTTCTTGTCTACCTTTGTGTGCTATTTGGAGGGTGGCAACTCGAACTGCTGCACTTCGGTGCCAAGTTCTATGTTGACAGACAGTTCAACTCGCTACACTTCCTCCATGTAGCACACAGAGCAAGAAAAGAAAGTAAAAAGGAATGCAAAACAGAGACAGTAAACAGAGATATGAGACAGAAAGAATGGTAATAACGAAGAACAATATAGTTTCATTGGGTATTATAAGTCACAAGGAGTGGATGCATCTGCGCCATCCATTGAGAACGAGGATTTTGAGCCACCCAAATCACCAATTGTCTCCAGCCTTCATTGGTGTTTACCATCCCGAGGACCCCAACCAGTCAGCAAGTCTACACCTCTCTACGTGACTGGCTGGCTTAAACTAACTGTTATGGATTTCTGCCATTACTCATTCTGTTTCACTCCTATACTTGTCAAAACTCTACTGATTCTCTTCACTCATTTTCTTGTCTACCTTTGTATGCTATTTGGAACATGGCAACTCGAACCGCTGCACTTCGGTGCCAAGTTCTATGTTGAATCCAGCCAGCCAGTTATGGATTTCATTAACTGATGAAGTCATGTTTTGCTTCGACCACCACTGGCTCTCTCTTTTCGAACCTGATCCATCTTATCTCAGCTAACATTGCCTGTTGGCGAGGAAGGCGATGGCTACGCTAGCATACGTAATACTTGTGTGCGTCTTTGGCACAGTGGCTAGGACTCTTGCCGACCATGCACATGGTCCGGGGTTCGATCCCCTGCCGACGCACACCTGATATCAGTGGTCGGCTTGCAAAGTTTGGGCTACCGATATAGCATGCTGAAAATTCCATACTTGTACCAAAAATACGGTGTGGTTTTAAGCTATCATCAAAAAAGAAAAATGTTCTAACCATCTCAATCGGTGTAACTTTACAACCTCATCGATTGAAGTGCCCGTTTATATTTTTATTTGCATTTATTAATATTTTACTTGTATAAGTCTTTTCCCCATGGTTATCATATAAAGCTATATCTTATTTGTCAAGTGAAATGCTTTAACCTTAACTGTGAGTATCTTTCAGATATATCCCTTTCATTGGTATTTCACCTCTGCTTTGCCAAGATCTCTTCTATCCTCTTGTTTCATCCTATATGCATGGATCCCTATAATTATGGTGAAAATACTTCAAAAGTTTTCCACAAACAAAGATGATGTTATCATCATACCTCAGAGTACTGGATTACTCTTTGTTGCTTTAATATTTATTGGCTTGTATTCATTTCTACCGCATAAAGAATTACGCTTTATTATTTATGTATTACCTGTGCTGAATCTGGTCGTGGCAGATATTTGGACTAACTTGTAAGTTGACGATTTGTTCTCTTTTCTTTTTGACTCTAGGGAAATTTTATCTTGGATTTTTCGTTATGTTTATTAAGTTGCTCAATTAGAGTATTATTATATCGTTATTGTTATTGTTCCCTTGGGTTCCTAGTGGAACATAGGGCTTCAACTGCACTTGCTTCTGTCATTTCCTCTTCATACGATCTCCTCGATGTCACCCTTGCACTGACGTCCCACTACTCGCCGCTTCCCTTTCGGGTTTCGCTCGAGCGTTGGCGTGACGCGCGATGTCACCCAGCGGCCTGCTCAGTGAGTGAGTGTCCAATCTATCTCCATTTTCTCCTGCATATTTGTTGGCCGATTGGTTCTTGTTTTGTTTGTTCCCATAGTTTCTTGTTGGTTCTTGTTCTTTCCGGCCATCTGAACTTCAGTATAGAGTGAAGACAGTTGTTGATGTAGGTCTGCAACAGGCTGTTGGAAATATTCTTTGTGACCCGCCAAGTTTCTGATCCGTATAGAAGTGACTTGACGTTTCTATTGAAAATCGGAATTTTGTTGTTGATGCTGAGTGACGAAGATTTCCAGATTAGTTTCAGGTTGATGATGAATGTGTTTCTCACCTTCCCGATTCTCGATTTGACATCCTCGTCCGTTCCTCGTGTAGTTGAGACAATGCTCCCTACCTAGATAAGTGAATGAAGTAACCTCTTTCAAATCCCTCCTGTTGATGGTGATTGGCTTTGGATGTTGCTGCTGCTGTTGTTGTTGGTTAGTTATTTTCATAACCTCCGTCTTGTCTATGTTCACCTGGAGTCCTGTCTTCTCTGGCTGCTTCTTCAACTAGTTTGTCGGTTTTCGCTTGTAAGTCTTCGATTATGTGTGTGACATCAAACATAAATCATCCATGCGCGAAATCCAGGTCTTTTAGGTTCTTCACGTCGGTCCAGGATATCCCTGTCTTTTCATTTCCCACTGTCTGACGCGTAATCCAGTCCACCACAATTAGGAATATCATTGGTGATAATAAGCACCTCGCCTAGATTACTATCTTGCTAGTTTTCTAGCCGGTCCCAATCCCGGATAAAGAGGGAGGGTTAGGGCGTGGTGCTAGCAACTCCACCCCGAAAACTGAACCAAATTGCTACAGAAACTTCAACGCTCAATTAGAGTGTTGTGTCATATTTCTTGACCTGTAGGTGGAATTCTACTCCGTTGACGTAGAGGTACTACGGGGGTTTGTTTATCGGTAAAGGGAGTGCCGAGCAGATGCATTGCACTAATCAAGGGATTCTACTCAACCTCACGAAACTGTGAAGTGATGATGAAAATCAGTGGTTTCTGTCAGAAGGCATGCCAACTGTCTCCTTTACTGTTTAATCTTATCATAGATGTATTAATGGACTTAACCCTAACTGACTTCAACGACTCAGGGATTGTGAGTAGCAATTTAATTGGCCTACAGCCACGCTCAACTTACCCAAGCATCGAAAACCTCCCTGAATGGGATATAGACACAGATCCCCTGTCACCAAATGAGGTTACAAAAGCTGTCACTAATCTAAAACGAGGTAAAGCAGCGGGACCTTATAGAATGACTCCAGAAGTGTTCAAGAACGGTGGAAACAGTTTACTGTCTGCGTTAACCAAGGTATTAGGCTGCGTCTGGGAATCACAGATGGTCCCGTCGTGCTGGTTGACAAGTTTTCCTGTGATAATCACAGGGGGATTAGCTTCACCAATACGGTATCTAGAGTTCTAAGCTCAGTAATCATGCGTAGAGTAAGTGGTGTTCGGGAGGAAAAAACACGAAAGAACCACACAGACTTTAGATCAGGAAGAGGGTGTATTGATAATATATTCGTCCTTCGACAGATTCTGGGACAGGCATACTTACTGGTGTCCAGTTATCGTCATATTTCTTTACCTGAAGCCGGCATTCGACTGCGTTGACCGAGAGGTACTGTGGCAATGTTTGACTGTGAAAGGAATGCCGAGTAAATACATTGCACTGATCAAGGCACTCACTCTACTCTAACTCATGCAGCCAGCCACGTGAGAGCCTATGGAAAGTTGTCATCTGAAGCGGTGAAAACCAGTGCAATGGTGCCAGCCAGGGATGCCCACTGTCCCCATTTCTGTCTAATGTCACCATAGATTTAGTAGTGGAATTGATCCTAACTGACTTGGGCGAGTTTGGGATTGACTTTCTGCCACCAGGGAATAATCTCGTCTACTCATACTATGTAGATGATATAGTCCTCCTTCCTAGGTGAACACGCTGACCTAGAAAAGACGGAGCTGATGAAGATAACCAACCAACCAACAGCAAAAGCAGCAAAAACCGGCACCAATCACCATCAACGGAAGAGATTCTACAGAGATTACTTCCTTCACTTATCTAGGACGCATCGTTTCAACTACAGGCAGTGGGAACGGATGAAGATGTCAACACCAGCCAGAGTCGGAAGGGTAAGATACGCCTTCATCAACCTGAAACCAGTTTGGAAATCTTCTGCACTGCACTCCATAGCATAGAGAACATGATTCGGATTTTCAACACAAATATGAAGTCAGTCAGTCAGTCCTTCTTTACGGGTCAGAAATTTGGTCACCGTGTCAAGAAAAGGGTTTCCAACAATTTACAGACCTTTATCAACAGCTGACTGCGTCCGCTCCATACTAAAGATCAACTGGCAAGCCGGATGGGCAGAAAGAATTAGCAACAAGGAACCCTTGCAACAAACCAACCAAGAACCTCTCGTTCAACGAAAATGTAACAGAAAATGGAGATGGATCGGGCATACGTTGAGAAGGCCCTTGAATAACACCGCGTTCAATGTAGGCCATCACTCGAGTGGAATCTCAACGGAAAGTGACAAATTGGTCGTTGGTGCGAGGGTGATGTGGAGGAGATGAGAGATTATGGGAGATCGTTGGACCCAGCTGAAGAGGACAGCATCAAGCAAAACAAAGTGGAGATGTGTTGTTGAAGCCCTATGATTTTCCACTTGGAACCCGAAGGAATAATCCGTCATAATAATAACAATAATAAATTCAACAGTCGTAAATTCCTGTTCAGTTCTCTTGTCTCACTGTCTGTCTGTCTGTTTTTGACATAGAACTTTGTACATATGTGCGGCAGTTCAAGTCGCCACACTCCCTCCATGTAGCACACAAAGCAAGAGAAGAAAGTAGGAGAAATGCATATTAGAGACAGTGAACAGAGGTGTGAGACAAAGGAATAGTAATAACGAAGAACAGAACAGTTTCATTGGAGATCATAAGTCACAAGGAGTGGGTGCATCTGCGCTAGCCATTGAGAACGATTTTGAGCCATATCACCAATTGTTTCCAGCCATTGGTTTTTACCGTCCGGAGGACCCCAACCAGAAAGTCTACACCTTCCTACGTGGCTTAGACTAACTGTTGTAGATTTCATTGACTGGTGCCATGTTTTGCTTTGACCACCACTGGCTCTTTTCCAACCTGACCCTGTATCAGCTAACATTACCCGTTGAGGAAGGCGATGACTAGGCATACGTAACACATGTCCTAACCATCTCAGTCGATGTAGCTTCACAGCGTCGTCGATTGACTTCCCCTCCTTACCTAGCACTCAACTGATGCCTAACCTGAATATTGCTCACCTTATTGTACCACTTCACGCGGGAGATAGAACGCAGACATCTATGATCAAAGACAGCTAATCTTTTCATGTCTTCCGCTCTCAATGGCCAGGTCTCACTGTCTCTTTGTATTCATATCAATCTCAATTATATATTTTTGTTTTTTTTTTCTTTACAATGTTAACGCACAATATTAGAGAGAAACCAATGCTATCATCTAAAGGAGGTGTATATACGAATCTGTTGAAAAAGAAATCTCTGCCTAAACGAATAACAGTCATTCGTCTTCTACTTATCTTATGCTGTTATTCTCATCTCCTTGTGAATGCTGCCTGTTCAATCCTCTTAACTAAAGCGGCACAAAATAATTATCCTGGTGGGGAAGCATTGAATACACTGAATCATATGGAACATTTAATACAGAGAAATGGTAAGCTTTTCTTCCTCTTATATATTCCCCTTATAATCTATCTACACTGTGGTGATAGTATGTAATTCTATGTTAATTTGTTTATTAGATATATCACACACATACAGGAAAAAACAGTATTACTGGTTAATTGGATGACAATGTTTGGAACACAATTTGTTCATTGTTCATAATCATATCTGCAATATAACATAGCTGTGGATTCACAACGGAAAGCTCAGCGAGGCTTTTGAAGTGAAGATAGCAGTGGGACAAGGCTGGCTGTTTCTGCTATCAGCTATAATCTGCCCGATAGTGTGGTGAAAGGGAGAAGGTGGGTATCTGGTCAACCGAATAAGTGACCGTAGAAGATCTGGATTTTGCAGATGCTTTAATTTCCTATGATGCATAAACTTGAAGACTTACAGGCGTAAACCAACAAGTTGTTAGAAGAGTCTGTGAAGACAAGACTTCAAGTGAAGGTCTTGGGTTCGAACATCAGTGGATGCGTACTGATGAAGAGTCCCAAACCAGGACGAAGCAGCTTTTCAGTACTCCCAATCAAATTTCTGCAAACCAACACTAAAATATCAATCTGATGTTCACTAGTGACTGGCCCTATTCACGTAGGTAGTTCTAGTGGGAAGTCGTGACCAGTGGGGTACAGAAGGTTGGGTGCGAGGACAAATACTCGCCAGCAATGACATTGGCTAGTGCCAGTCGCGCTATATCGTGATTTGGTAGAAGTTGGAATTCATGAGCCTATCATTGGATCGTTCCAGTGTCTTATTAGTCTATGAGTTAGCCCGCCTTGTAACCGGAAGGTCCTAGTTCCGAGCCCTTCCGAAGAGTCTCAAACAAGGACGAAACAGCTGTCCAGTAATGCCAGGTTTACTATTGGTTCTCTAACCAATGTCAGCTCATCATGATGAAATCCTGAAACCAATCAGATCACTGCAAAGCAACACTTGAACTTCAAGTGAATATAGAGAAGATAGAGGTGATGAAAGTGCCTCCGAAGACTGACGACAACAACAAGCATCAGTCACTAGCATCAATCTGAGAAATCTAAAGGAAGCTAACTGTTCGACTTACCATGTGCAGCGCTGTTTCAATTACACGCAACACGGATGAGGATGTCAAAGCCAGCTAAGAAGGAGCGTGAAAGCAAGATCAGGCGGGTTTTTAAATTATTCCACTCTAATCACTGTGTAGTTATGTAGTAGTGAGCACAAGAATCAAGATCAGAAAACTCTTTGATTGATCTCATTTCACATCTTCTATATGGTTCAAAGACTTTAGGATTAAACTAACTGTCGAATCACTAGACTACATCGGTTAGGAAACCGTTGGAGAACCTGCAGGAATTACTGGACAGCTATCTCGTGATGAAATCCTGCAAACCAGCACCTAAAAAAAGGAGAAAGCTGCCCTCAATGCTTTACTTTGCTATTGATAAGGTGTGCTCCCGTTTTCTTATTTCAAAAACTTATACTACTTAATATTAGTGAGTAGCATAATTTATACCTACAAATATTCTTGTACTTGAATCTCATTAACTGTGTTAACATTATATGTTGCCTGTAATAGTTCTCCTCATATGATTATACTCTACCTGCTGTATATGCTTCATCATTTATGTTCTACTTCCACTTGGATTTTGTTTATTCTAGCCTTTTTCTTTTTTGATGTTAATATTCATGAGCTTTTCATTTTTGATACTGTCTTATCGACGCCTCTTGTTCAAAGTGTTCGATCACCGATTGATATCCGTTATAGAAGAGTTGAAAACTAGGGAGTACTGGACACGTGTTTCGTCTTTTCGTTTGGAACTCTTCATCATTAAGCACCTACCGGGGTTCGTACCCAAAGCCTTACGATTACAAGGCAAGTTTGTAGACCATGTGGAGCTGCTGCTGCTAGATTCAACATAGAACTGGGCACCGAAGTGCAGCAGTTCCAGTTGCCACGTTCCAAATAGCATACAAAGGTAGACAAGAAAATGAGTGAAGAGAATCAATAGAATTTAGACAAGTATAAGAGTGAAACAGAATGAGTAATGGTAGAAAGGAATATGAAAGATTACAGAGACTGAATATATCTGCGTAAGCCATTGACAACGATTTTGAGCCATGTCACCTATTGTCTCCAGTCATTGATTCTTAGAGTCCCGAGAGCGGGCCCCAACCCGGAAGTCTGCATCTCCCTCCCTATCTGACTCAGTTTAACTGTCAAGGAATTCATGGATTGATGAGGCCATGTTTTTGTTTGGTCACCACTTACTCTTTTCCAACCTGCACACCTATATCAGCTAGTAATGCCCGTCCGTCGGGGGAGGCGATGGCTAGGCATGCGCAGCAAGTGACCTAGCCATCTCAATCTATGTAACTTTATAGCCTCTTCGATTGATTTTTTCTCTTTGCCCAACACTCTACGCCTAACGCCAATCTGAAGTGCACGCGAAACCTCTCTAATCACTTGAACATCCTAAACACATATTAAGTTAGTTATTCTATATGGGTCAGAAATACGACTAGGGCGTCAAGAAAAGCATTCCTGGCAGGCCACTTCAGACTTTCATCCACCTGCTGCCACCTTCACTGATTTCATACTAAAGATGAGATGACGGACTGGCTGACAGAAAGAATTAGCTACAAAAAACCATGGCAATGAACAAACCAGTCAAGAACCCAGTGATCAGCAAATATTCTTAAGAAAATGGAGGTGGATCAGATACATATTACTGAAGAGGGCGTTCTGTGACACGGTACGTTAACCAGGCCATTGCTCGGGGGTAACCCGATCGGGAAACGACGAGTTGGACCGATGATCTGAGAATGATGTGGAGGGGATCATTTGATGAGGAGGAGGTGAGAACTGATAGGCAATCATGCGGGGCCAGGTAAACAGGACTTCAGGGAACTGGAGAAAATGGCAGTGTGCTTTTGAAGCCCTATGTTCCTGTTGGAACCCAAGGGAATTATATATATGTATATACGCATAGGGAGGTGTCGGGTGCTGTCTGGTTGGGGTCCTCGGGATGATAAAAACCGATGATAGATGGAGACAATTGGTGATATGGCTCAAAATCCTTCTCTTTGATGGCTGGCGCAGATGCATCTACTCCTTGTGATTTATCATATGTAGTAAAATTCCATTGTTTTCCATATTACTGTTCTTCTTCCCTCACTCACACTTGTGTTTATTATTTCTGTTTTGAATCTCTCTTTACTCTCTTCTGTTGCTTTGTGTGCTACATGGAGGGAGAGTGGCAACTCGAACTGGCGCAAAGTCTGTGCAAAGTTCTATGTTGAAACCAGCCAGACAGTCAGTCAGTCAGTCAGTTGATGACTTCGTCGGAAATAAAAAGTTTCTCTTTTCTGCAACTACCTTTTTAATGGTTCCTTTGATTTAATGTATATATTTTGTAAATTCACTTGTCCCTTTTTATACTTATACCGTACTAACTGTTGCTTATTTGAAAATACATCTTTTTGATGTGGTTGTATTCTCTCAGCTGGATGGTTTATTTGCGAAACTTGCATCGCCCTGCTCCTATTAGGCAACATCTTCAGCACATCATACTTCAATTTGTTAAAGTGAGCCTTTAGATTTCTCCATGAGTTTATTAGTCATCTCTCCTGGCGGGTGACCTTGAAAGTGATTGCTTGTTTCTGTGTATTTTCACACCCTCTAGGCTACTTATGGTATTGGTACTGATTGTTTCCTTGATCTGAAGTTTGACCCTTTGTGTGTGAGAATTCCTTCTTATCGGTTGGTAAATTTTGTCTGTCCCGATGTATCTATTGATTGACGATTCACTGGAATACCAGACGGGCTTCTAAAAATTCTCTAGCATTCTTGGTGCTTAGTATTTGGACGTTGTCCCATTTAGAATTGATGTCCATGGATTTCTGTATGCAACGATATCATATCCGGACAACATTAGAATACTAGACAAAGGAATCATCAAGAATGTCAGAGAATTTTCCGCAGCCTGGTATTCCAGTGAGAAGTGGCAATTAATAGACACATTGACATGGTTAAAATTTACCAATCGATAAGAAGGAAATGTCACACACAAAGGGTCAAACTCCAGGTCAAAGAAACAATCAGGACAAATAGAAGTAGCCTAGAGGGTGTGAACACACACAAAAACAAACAATCACCTTCAAGGTCATCCGCCAGGAGTATTGATTTATAAACTCGTGAAGAAATCTAAAGGCTCATTTCAACAAACTGAAGTATGCACTGAAGATGTTGCCTATTAGGGACAGGGTGTGGTGAGAGCTGGCTGCTAGCCAAAGTTGGTAGACAGTAATTGACGTCAATGTTTATGTCCCCAATATTGGTGGTGAGAAAATGAGAACAAAGGTTTTGCGTAGACGGATACAGTTAGCATATGGATGGATGATCTGACACAGCCACAAAGAGATGCAAGGTTAACTTTCTGTGAGAAACAACCAATCAAAAGATTGTATTATCTACTAACAATAATCTACACTAATGTACATTAAAATCTATAATTATGTGTTGATTTTCTTTAGTAAACGATGTGTTGCCTGGCCCTTGTCTTCTGTTGTTACAAAAGCAATGAAAGTTTCGCAAATAAAGCATCCAGCTAGCTTAGAGAACACAACTACATCAAAATCATCCATCTACCTGAGGTACAAATCTTCCCCATTATATCAAAAATACAACCTATTTTGTCCATTTTCTTTGGATTGCTTTTTAGATGTTCATGTTCATATTTGTAATTTGGCTGCACAGACTGGTGTTACTCGCTTTTTACAAATACATGATAAATGGATGTAAGTTTAATACCTTGTTCATCTTATTTGTGTCTGTATTAATTTTTTAAAATTTTTCTAAATTATGCATCACAATCTCAATGTAACACGATCAAAACCCAACTTATTGTGACATTTCCTCTCATTCAGTGGTCTCCTCAGCGTGTGTCGAATCCATCTACATCCTCTTCGCGATATTTGTTCAGCAATCGATATTTGATTGGTTCATTCGTCGCCAGGGTTTCTTGTTGATAATTCTTTCTGCCAGTCGATCAGCCATCTGATCTGCGATATAGAGTCAGCAAAGGTTGCAGCTGTTTGGTAAAAGTCTACAATGGCCTGTTAGAAATGCTTTTTTTAACTCTCAGGGGGAGTTTATGACCCATGTAGAGAAAGTGACTGATTGACTTAACTTGGTAAAAGTTAGAATTCATCGACTGGCAGTTGAGGAGTCGCGTCCCAGTGACTGAATGGTTTATGACCTTGCTTGCTTGTAACCGGAAGATCCTGGGTTCTAACCCATCACTTCACTTCACCAGGGATAGAAGAGAATGTAAGACTGTCAGGTTACCAGGCGATCCCTTTGATCATTTATCACTGTATAGGAATGGAATCTCATGACCTGTGATGAATTAAGAAAAAAGCCTGAATTTACGGTCAGGTGGGGGGTTAATCTCTTGTGGGGTTATTGATTCTCGCTGTTGAATATTCCAAAGCTATTCATCAAGTGTTTGTTTGCAAGGATTTGATTGATTGGTTACAGGATTTCATCATGATGAGCTGACATCGGTTATAGGACCATTGGAAGACACAGTGGGAACACACTGGTTTTGGGACTCTTCAGTAGTATGCACCCACTGAGGTTCGAGCGCGGGACTTTCTGGTTACAAGGCGATCTTCGTATACCATTAAGTCGTTCGTTGACTAGTGGGGTCCACCAGGTCGCGAGTGAGGGTAAATACTTGCCCATATACTGAAAATTCTGTATTTGTACCAAAAGTACTGTTTACTTACTTTACTTTACTTCGGCCATCTCCTACGGGAGGATGAGCCGGCTTCATGAACATCTCGAATCATCGCTGCCCAGGCGCGGCGATCTGTAAGAGAGTTCATGAAGTTTCATGGGAATTTGGTACGAGTGATGTCCCCAGAATCGCTCGGCCTTTTGTTTGAGAGTGCAGCTCTAGCCTTTACACAACCAAGTGTGACCTACAAGGCAGTAGGAGTGGAGTAGGGAGTCCACTATCCATTGGCAGCCGGTGACCGGAGTTCGGTTCATACGCCTTTTTGAATGGGGCCAGACATCCAGGACATCCAACAAGCCCTTTGTCCATACGTCTGCCTGTGAGCTCCAGTGATCTTCATACGCCAGTCGTTGGAGGTTTGGAATCAGAGTTTAGCCATCTTCCCTAGACTGTCATCCAATGGACAGTCAACCCGGTGAAGAGCGCCGGGCATCCGCTTTCGCCCTCTCACTTTGGTGCAAAACACCTCCGCCACGTGAAGGCAGTGAGTAGGACTTCCTCAGGAGAGGCTATGTAAGACGCCCGGTCATATGGGAGCATTTCAAGAGGTGTGCAGAGGGGTGGCCAACCCGCAGCGCAAGGCACCCACCCCCGACCATCCTGAGGCCTTTGGAGGTCTGTTTGGAATAATGCTATTATTAATATTATTATTATTGTTATTATTATTATTATTAGTGTTTCCATATTGAGTCATAAGAAAAAGATACAAACAGCGAAGAAAATTTTCTTATCGACGATTCATTTTCATAAGCTGCTGTGCAATCGCAATTATATTAAACAAAGAAATCTTTAGACCAATCAGTTGCTGGTTAACTTTGTCCTTGAGAAATTGTATCGCCGACCATGCACATGGTTCGGGGTTCGATCTCCTGCCGACGCACACCTGATATCTATGGTCGGCCTGCAAAATTTGGGCTACCGATATCACGTGCTGAAAATTCCATACCTGTAACAAAAAATACGGTGTGGAATCAAGCTGTGATCAAAAAAATAAATAAAAAAATAAAGTATTACATAGTGTAAGGTGTAAGAAGGGATGACTAATTGTAAGTTAGAAAAGAGACAGAAGTTGGCATGACGTAATAAGTGTGAGATAATGACTAATCAATAAACTCGTGTAGAATGGACAGGAACTAGTGGAATGGCGATAGACTGTTTTCATATAAAATCTGTATGAAAAGCAATGATATTAATCAACAGTAATAGAGTGGTAATAAAATGTGGATGATGGGAACAATAATGATAATAAAAAAGTATTAATAAAATAAAAATAATAATGGTAATAATAGTGAACTTACATAATAAAGGAAAGAAGCAAAATTGTGGTGAGAACTTTACTCTGGCCATGGTAGGGCAAGAGAATGTATGTATCGCTTTTGAATGCAGAGGTCCGGTTTCAGATCTCGAATAGCTAATGCTTCAGCTATGTACAGATGGTGTATGCGAAGTCCCTTTGTACGATATTGAGGGACTCTGTGTAGCACTGTGAAGCATTCATGTAAGTGGGAGTGATCTATGTCTAGAGTTGACAAGATGTTCGAGGACAGAACTGCTGCTATTTTTCTCTTCTTCTTTGGCTAACCAAGCTGGACAGTGTTCCAGAATACATTTGTGGACTTGACGTTGCGTACGGCCGATACACTTTGCTCCACAACAGCAAGTAAATTGATAAATACACATTGAAGTGGCCAAAAGCGGTATCTTTTCCTTAGCGTTAGAGTGGATTAACTGTCTGCAGGAGAATGTGATACTTAGGGTGGTTGTTGGAAATGTTTTCTTCAGACATTTAGAAAGGCGATTTCTCAGAATTTCCGCTGTGATGTGACGTCACCTTTGAATTCTAGGTTCATGAAGAGAATCTTCTTAGGAACCGTTGCGATGTCTGACACCGGAGGCTTCTCCTTCATGTTTTTGTCGATGAATTGCTTTTTCATACAGATTTCATATAAAAACTCCTTATCGCCTTTCCACTAGTTCCTGTCCATTTTACACGAGATTATTGATTATTCACTATCTCACACTTATTACGTCATGCCTACCTCTGTCTGTTTTCTAACTTACAATTAGTCATCCCATCTTCGTTACACCTTACATAATGTAATATATTCTTCGAGGACAAAGTTCACCGGTATCTGATTGGCCTAAAGATTTCTTTGTTTAATATAATTACACAGTTTTTGTTCAGCGAAGAAATTTCTTTTCAACGACTTCATTTTCAAGCTGTACAGTCATATTTATATTACAGAAAAGGTTATTAAGTGGCACCAAATAATTGCTGTGATAAGAATAACGATAATTAAAACATCTTCATTCTTATCGTAATCGTACTCCTAATTATTTAAAATTTTTAGACAACACTTGACATTTTTAAAACATTTTTGATTTCAATTCACTTGTCATTGGTTTCGAACTTTATAACTTCTCCTCAGCCGAATAGGGTGGGCTAGTGCCCTCAGGGACTATGCTGCCTAAATTTTCTTAGGGAGGCTAGGACTTAGGGAATACATATATCAATGGATAGCTCTCGACGAGATCTACTCATTGGTACCGGTATCGCGCCTTATAGCTTCTCCTCAGCCGAATAGGGAATTTTTTCAAAGGCTACAGGGGAAACCTGTTTCTAGGCCTAGAGTTCATGCTGCTGGCTGTTCTCTTGACATTTTTAGCTCCGCGACCTCAGGTTGTATGCCGTTGTGTATGCAGCTAGGCGGCATTACCAACCATAGGGCAGCAGGGGGGCAGAGACTGCTAGGCAGGAAAATCCTCGTATTTTTCTTAGGAATAGCTTTTACCCTCTGATTTATATACCATTGGATTCCTCTCGACTAGACGAATCGATTGGTACCTGTCTCGTCCCTGTATGACTTACGGTTGCGGGATATGGATTTTTAAAGTTTTGCAGGTTTTCCCCATTTTGCCTTTGTATCGTAATATACAGGGTATTTTTAGCCAATGAGAATTAAGCTTTTGTTTATTAGGCGTAGATAGGCATTTTGTTTTAATTGACGATGCGCGCGAAGGCGCAGCTGAAATTGTGGCATGGCGTGGGACGGATGGCTGGTTTTCTACGGCCAGCCCCTGTCACTTGGAGGCCTATGATGGCTTCCAATCCTCATCAAATGGAATTATTCGGTAAGTTTATTTCATTTTTATATTATTTTTATTAGTAGTTTTCATGTTTAGGCTAGGTTTTAGCTTCATGTTTACTATGCTGGGGCATTTAGGGACCATACGGTCATAGTTTGTTTAGAGATGCCCTGGCATATGAAAGCTATATATCAATCGATAGCTCTCGACCAGACCTATCCTTTGACATTGGTTTCGACCCTTGTAGCCTCTCCTCAGCCTTCCTCAGGATCTTTGATATCTGGGCTTGCGCCCTCCGGGGTTATGCTGCCAAAATGTTTCCAGAGAGGTTAGGACTTAGGTGAAGTTATATATCAATCGATGGCTCTCACAGCGACCTATCCTTTGTCATTGGTTTCGAACTTTATAACTTCTCCTCAGCCGAATAGGGTGGGCTAGTGCCCCTAGGGACTATGCTGCCTAAATTTTCTTAGGGAGGCTAGGACTTAGGGAATACATATATCAATGGATAGCTCTCGACGAGATCTACTCATTGGTACCGGTATCGCGCCTTATAGCTTCTCCTCAGCCGAATAAGGAATTTTTTCAAAGGCTACAGGGGAAACCTGTTTCTAGGCCTAGAGTTCATGCTGCTGGCTGTTCTCTTGACATTTTTAGCTCCGCGACCTCAGGTTGTATGCCGTTGTGTATGCAGCTAGGCGGCATTACCAACCATAGGGCAGCAGGGGGGCAGAGACTGCTAGGCAGGAAAATCCTCGTATTTTTCTTAGGAATAGCTTTTACCCTCTGATTTATATACCATTGGATTCCTCTCGACTAGACGAATCGATTGGTACCTGTCTCGTCCCTGTATGACTTACGGTTGCGGAGCTATGGCTTCTTTAAGTTCAGCAGTTATCCTCCTATTTT